ACGACCCTAGTACTGCCAGGTTCAGGTGGCATTTAGCCACTGTGCTGTGCTTAAATCACTGGATCTTTCAGAATCACATTGCATTCAGCATAAAATAGCAGATGTAACTTAGCATTCCATATTATTACAATTCATTCATTTTGAGCTCTGTTCTGTCTTTTGCATAAGGTTCACCATGGATTTAGATATTCAACACCAGGAACGCAGTCACTCATATAAGCAAACATTACAACCATCTTTAGATCTTCCAACAAGTATGTAGTGCAATAACCTTCCTGAATGGGTGGCTCCTCATATTACATAGTTTTGGTAGATCTAAAGTAAATTTTGCAGAGACTGTATGGTCAAATTGTAACATAAGCCTAAAATGAACAGTTTTCATGATGCCATGTTCAGATGAATTTAAAGTGTTCACCTTTACCAAAAAACTTCCTATGCAGGCAAGGGGCACTTGTAAACGACCAAACTTGAATAATGCCATTGCTATAGGTGTATGTCATTTACATAACTCTTCAAGCCTGGCTGAATAACTCCCAAGAGATGGCATCCCGCCATGCCTTTATGATAGGATGTTTCTAGGACATGTCCAGCCCATACTACTCTCCCCACTTTCTTTTCTCAGATTGAACCCCCCCCCCCCCCCCCCTCGCATGCGCCATCTCTCCCCCAATGCAGTAGCTCTGAGCTCAGCGACAGAGAGCATAGTGAACCACACGTGTGAGTTTAAGAGCTCTCTCCTGTGATGGTGGGAGTGTCTTAGCAATGTTCTAGCAACAAGATCGCTCAGGGGACCCCAGCTCTGGGCGTTTTTCAGCCAAACTTTGGGAAGTACGTAAATGGCCTACACCTAGAGCAAGGACTTTATCCAACTTTGTTCAAGTACAAACTGCTGCTTTGCCAATCAGACCCACTGTTTGAAGGAAGTGCTGCCTTCCATGAAACACAAGAGGCCAGTTATGTGACTAGCCGTTGTGCTCTTAGGAGAGAGAGCAACTGCGACTGGTAATCCAAAATGGAAACCTCTATGCAAAGACTTGCTAAGGGACATGTTCCAGCCTAGATATTGATGGTAAAGAGTTATCGCTTCTTGGCCTTTTGGCTAAGATCAAGCATCTGTTCTTATCCGTGTTCCATAGGGTTGCTCCACCATCATTATGTCCTTATGGCTGGCTGTATCCTGCCCCTGCTGGTATGATGGGGGTCCTGAGGGATCTTCCTGTGGGAACAGAAACTGGGGAGCCCACTGGGTGAGGTGGAGCAAAGGAGGATTCCCTAGTGGAAAATCTCAAGGGGCCTCCCGATTTGACTGTGCTACCTTGTCTGGGCAGGGGCTGTGAAGGCAAAGGGCCTTTGGTGTCAAGCTCCCCCTGAATGCCACGCCCAGTGGATGCTGGAGTAACACTATGGGTTTGGGGACCCTACTGTGTGAAAATGTACTGGGCCACGACATCTGTGCTTTTTGTCCTGCTCAACGTCTCATGGGCTACTCCTTTTGGCCAATCTCCACCTGTGTACTCCTGTACTTATATATGTATTTTCATTTTCACTCTGGATTAGGGATGTTGGTCTTCAGGCCTACCCTGACATCTAGGGGGAGGATGTGTGGCCATTGGGCTCCTTCCTCCCCTACCTTTTGGGGGGTTGAGGGTGTCTTTGGGACAGCCCCCCACCTAGTACAGATCATGAGGAGAGGGGTCTCCTGGAAATTTTTTATTTCAGATACTTATAGATTGCCGTCAATGTACGCAGCACTTTACATATATATTATACATTCACATCAGTCCCTAACCCTCAAGGGGTGTACAATCTAAGGTCCCTAACTTACATTAATTCATACATACATATACTAGGGCCAATGTAGACAGGAGCCAATTCACCTACCAGCATGTCTTTGGAGTGTGGGAGGAAACCGGAGTCCCCGGAGGAAACCCACGCAGACACAGGGAGAACAAGCAAACTCCAGGCAGGTGGTGCTGTGGTTGGGACTTGAACCAATGACCCTAGTGCTGCCAGGTGGAAGTGCTAACCATTTAGCCACTGTGCTGCCCAATATAGGTGGACCTGAGTGTACTTTACACCTGCTAGGATTCCTGCACCTTGAAGGGTCAGGGAAGGGTCCTTCCTCGTTGGGAGGGGACTATAAGACATATCCTAAGTACATTTTTTTTTTGGGTGTGTTCACATGCACTTTTTTGTTGTTGTTCACTTTTGGTGTTTAGTCTTTGTGTATCACAGACTCAAGGAAACAAAATAAAGAAAAAAAATAGCAGAGCAAACTTATAGAGCAAAAAAAGCTGTAGGGGAATAGTAGGGCTGTAGCCTCCTACAGTATACACAAAGTACTATAGCAGAATATCCCAGCATACATTAGTTTACAGAATCAAGCACAAACATGCCTGGTACCATGGTTCGCAGCTTTCTCTTGTTTTTCTAAACGTAACTGGTCGTATCTTGCCAGTTGGGATTACTGCCATTAGAGGAGTGGTCCAAAATTGTGGTGACAATAGTTCATGCATCTATCAAGCAAATTATTCCATTCATTCCCAGAGATGTGTTGTACAAAGAGGTGTGGCGTCTGCCATCATTCCCTATATATGGAATTATTCAGCTGCACATCTCCTATGCAGCACCAAGACCACCAAGCCACAATGTTGCCCATTGCCATTGAACATGGCAGACTGAAGACATAAAGTGAGTGTAGGGTGCCATGGACCTGCCTTCTTGCAAAAAAGTGTTTTTGTAAGGATAGGGACTCCAGTGAACTATAATAAAACATATAGTTACCTAAATAATTATATGAAATCTAAATATCAACCCATAAGAGACATCCATTTTTCTCATTGGTTGTAAATTAAAATGTTTAAACTTTCTTTAAAATACAGTACATATTGTGTGTAGATTTATGTTTGCCCTATAAACCGCTAATACAAAATTTTCAACTAATATAAGGACTATACTCAATGGCCACTTTATAAGGTACGCCATGCTGGTGCCAAGAAAATATCCCTCCACACCATTACACCACCACCACCCTGAACCGTTGATAGAAGGCAGGATGTATTCATGCTTTCATGCTGTTTACGCCAAATCCTGACCCTACCATCTGAATGTTGCAGCAACCAGTCTGCCCATTCTCCTCTGACATCAACAAGGCATTTTCCTTTCAATAGATTTTTATTGAAAAAGTGTTGGTTTTAAAAGATACAGAGGCAACTGCAGTCATGTATACAAGTAGAAGTGTGAAATCAATGATTGACTAGTCAAAGGTGGTTGTGCATAAAACAGTAAAACTGCAACAAATGTCCAACAAGGCATTTTCATCTACACTAGATATTTCCTCTTTTTCGGGACATTTTCTGTAAACCCTAGAGATGGTTGTGCATGAAAATCGCAGTAGATCAGCAGTTTTTTAAATACTCAGATCAGCCCGTCTGGCACCAACCACCATGCCACATTCAAAATCACTTGCCACATTCAAAAGTCCACTTTCTTCCCCATTCTGATGCTCCATGTTGAGCAAGTCGTCTTCACCATGTCTAGATGCCAAAATGCATTGAGTTGCTGCCATGTAATTGGCTGATTAGCAATTTGTGTTACCAAGCAATTGAACAGGTGTACCTAATAAAGAGGCCAGTGAGTGTAGTTCCTTTAAAGTTGTAAACCGCATAAAACACAACAGAAGCCTTGGTGAGCTTAATACTGAATACTGCTATATTACTCAACATCATCTGATCTGATCACATGCATTTCCTATGAGACCTCAGGAGACGAGGGGAGTGGTTTCTATTACAGGAAACAATATATGATATTACAGAAGAGATTGTGTGTGTGTGTGTGTGTATATATATATATAATATAAAGTGATTGTAATAGTTGGTAAGCTCAGTGCGGTTGCATTTTAAGTGAGGCATGTCAGTTTGAATGTCAGTTTAAAGGCATGGCATACCACTTTTATTGAACAAAATTAAAGTTCTATTCAAAGTTGCCCACCTGGGGTTTCAACTCCACAAATAAAAACTGGAACAAGGCCAAGCCACCTGGTTCCTTTGTCAGCAGCACCTCTGCTCTCTTTGGTCTCCCAGACCCCAGGTTCTTCAGGCTCACTCAGCCTTATTATCACAGCACCTCGTTGTACAGGTTCACTCCTGCTCTCCAGAGAGGGTTCCCCCAGTACCTGGGTTCTCTCACACTTCTCAGGAACACAGAACTGCCTCCAGTCTCCTCGGTGGACTTGCTAGAAGTCCCCCCAACATAGGGTCACGTCCCCTGAGTAGGTCGCCCCTTCTGGCTGGAGCATGCTTCTATCTTCACACACTGACTGTGTCTCTGAATGGCTGCAACTGTCCTGAACTACTCTCAGAGCTGGTATATAAGAACCCTGCACACCTGTGTACTCACACAGACTGCAGACATCTAGCAAAGTCTAGACACAGGACTGAAGGTTCCGTCACGTACCTTGTGGCTGAACCTGACATGCAGAGGGAAGCCTCTCGTACAGAGACCACTGATTGCCACATTGGCCACAAGAGTGCAGCACTTGCGGCCAACTCTGTCCAGCTGTCTGGTCAAATCTGGTGATGCACCTACTACGCACCTCTACAACCAACAGAGACCATACAGGCACTCATGTGCACAATCGTGCAACTTCACTGTAAGTCGGAATTGGTGTGACCGGGGTGTAAGATCTTTATATCTGCACACAATAATGCACTAAGGGGTCAATTCTCTAAAGGATTTTGCATGTGATATGAAGGTCGCGTGGCTTTTCCCCCCCCCCCCAGAAATATCGCATGATAAATAAAAGAGTTAATTCATCAAAGTAAAAATGTCGAATGCAAGGTAAATACCACAAAAAAAGACAGAGAAGTCATTAAAGTCAATTCCACTAAAGAACACGCACATTCATTATCACCTGGCAGTAGGCAGTCGGTATTTTCGCAAAGTACAAAATACCAATGAGGTGAACTCTGCACTGACCAGTAAGCTAAAGCATTACTAAACCCAGGACCCTGCATTCACTATATCCGGTCTCCCTGGACCCTGCATTCACTATATCCGCTCTCCCCGGACCCTGCATTCACTATATCTGGTCCACCCTGGGCCCTGCATTCACTATATCCGGTCTCCCAGGACCCTGTATTCACTATATCTGGTCCACCCCGGGCCCTGTATTCACTATATCTGGTCCACCCCGGGCCCTGCATTCACTATATCCGGCCTCCCAGGACCCTGCATTCACGATATCAGGTCTCCCCAGACCCTGCATTCACTATACCTGGTCTCCCCGGACCCTGCATTCACTATATTAGGTCTCCCCAGACCCTGCATTCACTATATCTGGTCTCCCCGGACCCTGCATTCACTATATTAGGTCTCCCCGGACCCTGCATTCACTATATTAGGTCTCCCCAGACCCTGCATTTACTATATTGGTCTCCCAGACCCTGCATTTACTATATCTAGGTCTCCCCAGGACCCTGCATTTACTATATTGGTCTCCCCAGACCCTGCATTTACTATATCTGGTCTCCCCGGACCCTGCATTCACTATATCTGGTCTCCCTGGACCCTGCATTCACTATATCTGTCTCCCCGGACCCTGCATTCACTATATCCGTCTCTCCGGACCCTGCATTCACTATATCCGCTCTCCCCGGTCCCTGCATTCACTATATCCGCTCTCCCCAGGCCCTGCATTCACTATATCCGGGCTCCCCAGACCCTGCATTCATGGTCTCCCCAGGACCCTGCATTCACTATATCTGGTCTCCCACAGTACACACTACATGGAAATGCAATTATTTTAGTAAATATAAACTGCTAAATACTTTACCTCAGCAATATATAGCAGTCTTGTGACTTCTATTTTGTGTCCAGCAGAGCACTGGTTAAAGCTTGTAGGAGTTTTCATTCTGCCCTGATTGTCCCTTATGAGACTGCATAATCCCTGACCTCTGTCTGGACTGTGCTAAAGAAAAAAACTAGCAATACACACCAAACTGAACATGTGCAGCTTGCCCCCAAGGCTCTGTTCTATGAGCAAATAAATTGGGGACAGTAGAAGGAGGGGGAGGATCAGGCACCATCGGATTACAGAACGAACAATGTTTTCGATCGAAAAATCATTCAGAATTCGACCCATGTATGGCCTGCTTTAGCCACTGTGCTGCCCACTTTCATTCCTTCATACAATACTGTCAGCATCAAACATCCCATGCGGAAAGTTCCAGTTCCAGCTCGAGTACACAGATCACAGTAGGTTGCACCCTCTGCACATCATCCATCCTGAAGAAGTCTTGCATTGTTTTTAAAGTATTCTGTGATTGGAGGAAAGGAGACTGAAGCATTCATTCACACCTCCTCTACTAAAAGAACTCCATGTATTTAGTGAAAAAGATTGCCTACATTTACAACCACTTCATATCCAAAAAGTTAGAATCACATGCTCAAGGCAAGGGGTGCCAGTGATAACAACCTCCTTAGTCTGGGTTCACACCTAAGTGTTTTGCATTTTGCAGTAACGCAGTGCAGTCCATTTAACATGATTTCCTATGTGACAGGTTCACATCTCTATGCTTTCATCCAGTGAGTTTTTGAAAAGGGTCCAGGACTTTTTTAAATGCAAAATGTTGCGTTTTGCCCACATGGAAGAAAAATATATGTGAAATATATTTAAAAAATATTATTCCCAAATATATTGACATATATTTGAAATGCTACAATTTTGGCCGTATTTAATATATTTCAATGTATATATATATATATATATATATATATATATATTTATATACATACTGCATGTTGAAATGCATTTTTCTTTCAAAATATATGAAAAATATTTTTAAAAATACATTTCAAATATACTGTATGTCTTTAAAAATACAAATCTACATTTTTGAAATGCATTTACAAATATATGTAAAAATATATGTTAAAATAAATTTTTTATGTTTAAAAAAAATCTGAAAAATATATTTTCAAAAAATATATTTTGTAATATATAAAAACACACACACAGTTTTTATATATTACAAAATATATATTTTTTTTATTTAATTTAAGTATATTGAATATGGTCAAAATTGTAGTATTTCAAATATATGTCAATATATTTGGGAAGAATATTTTTAAAATATATTTTTCTTCCATATGGGTGGTTCAACAGACTTCAATGGAGATGCTGCAGAAATGCATGTTGTGCGTTTTTGATGCGGTTTGCATTTTACTCTGCCAAGCAACAAAAAAAAAAAGCAAAATGCATGTGCAAAAATGCAAAATGTACCACAAAAAGCATTGCAGAAACAAATCAAATGCAAACTGCATAGGTGTGAACCAAGCCTTAAGGAGTATGCAGGTGGGACTTATTTAAATCTCAGATATCCAGGGTCTGGTGTTACCTGTGCTATTGGAAAGTGTGGTGCCATCATGCCAAGATTGAGTCTGGGTTCACATTGATGTTGAGTGGAATTTGCATCATAATCGCACCCAGTTCATGCGAACCGCTGTGGGTGTGTATGTTAAAAACACCCAAAAATCGGTCCGCAAAACATGGTGCTATGTGCAGAATCAGATTGCATAGGTGTGATTACCCATGTGATCTGATTCTAGTGTGAACCCAAAAAATGGTCCTGCACCTTTTTGTTGCGGGTGCTTTGCGATTGGAACCATACAAAATGTATGACTCTAATCGCACCACACACAAATCGCATGTGATTTGCACAGGAATGTGGTGCGGTTCCTGTGCAAATCGCATGCGATATACCGCACCGCATTAGTGAGAACCCAGCCTGAAAGAGATTTCTAAGGCCCTAACGACCTCAGAAAGAATTACGTGTTCCAGGGAAGGGGTTTCAGTGATAAGAACCTCCTTAAGGAGGATGCAGGTGGAACTTATTTAAGGATTCATGACCAAGCCATTATTTGCTATTCAGTACTGCGCTACTTTAACTGGCAATGCAATACTGTACACAAATGAACAGTTTTTTCACACAAATAGAGCTTTCTTTTGGTGGTATTTGATCACCATGGGTTTTTTATTTTTTGCGAAAAAAGAAACTTTTTGGGGGAAAAAAACCCACGATATTTTAAACTTTCTGTCATAAAACATATTCAATAAAATCAAAATTCAATATACATTAAGGCCAAATAGTATTGTTCTACATGTCTTTGGTAAACAAAAAATCCCAAGAAGGATATATTATTTATATAAAAACAATAAATGAAAAATCGGTCGGTGCCGTTGCTGCTGCTGCCACCAATGCTCACGAAAGAATGGGACAAGAAATCAGTTTGACAGAGACAGGGGAGCACACCATACAATGTGACAGCAATACAAATACATTATGTTTTTATTTGGATACAAATGGATACATTTGTTGCAACCGCAAGACTTTTTCATATAAAATATAATAGCGGACTTCTTCTACCTCTCATTCTTCTTTTCAGGACATCTGCTGAAACAACTGTTTTTTTTTTTTTCTACTCCTATAAACCTATCTTTGCTTGGAAAATAGAAAATTTTAAAGAACCTTTTTAGAACCTTATTACCTTTTTAGTACAGGGACCCCACATATGTATAGGATTTGATACATGTCAGTCCTGTATGGTGTATGTGTGGGGTGTATATATATATATATATATATATATATATATATACATACACAGCTGTGTTCAAAATAATAGCAGTGTGTTGAAAAAAGTGAAAAAAGCTCAAAATCCTTCTAATAACTTTTATTTACATACACACAAATGCATTGAGAACACTACACATTATATTCCAAATCAAAACATGAAGAAAAATATATCAAATTTGTGTTGTTCCTCTAAAAAAATGGAAGAAAAGTGAATATTAGACTGTTCAAAAAAATAGCAATGTTTGTATTCTTCTTTACAAACTCAAACATTCACTATATAAACTGAAAAATGTTTGAATATTTTGCTTTCCTTTGAATCACTTAATTAATATTTAGTTGTATAAGCACTGTTTCTGAGAACTGCTGTACATCTGTGTTGCATGGAGTCACCCAACTTCTGGCACCTGTGAACAGGTATTCCAGCCCAGGATGATTGGACTACATTCCACAGTTCTTCTCTATTTCTTGGTTTTGCCTCAGAAACTGCATTTTTGATGTCACCCCACAAGTTTTCTATTGGATTAGGATCCGGGGATTGGGCTGACCACTCCATAACATCAATCTTGTTGGTCTAGAACAGCAATGGGCAAACTACGGCCCGGCGGACCTTTTAATCCGGCCAGCGGAGCTAGGCTCCCACTAGGCTCCTCTCACAGTCCGCCCTGAAGACCGGTGTAGCATGAAAATCTGTCTCCTATGAGGATCTGTCCCCCTCGACGTATCTGCGCATGTGCCGGAGATCGCCGATCGGCTGCTAATGCCTGAAACTGGCATATGCGCAGATACGTCGAGGGGGACAGATCCTCATAAGAGACAGATTTTCATGCTACACCGGAACGGCGCGGGAACACGGCGAGAGGAACGCGCGGAGCAAAGGTAAGTGAATTGGCACAGGGGGGACTTAATATGGGGGATGAATTAATATGGGGGATGAATTACTATAGGGGGGATGAATTACTATATGGGGGATGAATTACTATGGGGGATTAATTACTATATGGGGGATGAATTACTATGGGGGATGAATTACTATGGGGGATGAACTACTATATGGGGGATGAATTACTATATGGGGGATGAATTACTATGGGGGATGAATTACTATATGGGGGATGAATTACTATGGGGGATGAATTACTATATGGGGGATTAATTACTATGCTTACTATGGATGACACATACATCATTCATTCATCTACTCTTGGTCCGGCCCCCGGGTCCAATATATGAACCCATTGCGGCCCCCAAGTCAAAAAGTTTGCCCACCCCTGGTCTAGAACCAAGATGTTGCATGTTTATTGGTGTGTTTGGGGTCGTTGTCTTGTTGGAACACCCATTTCAAGGGCATTTCCTCTTCAGCATAAGGCAGCATGACCTCTTCAAGTATTCTGATGTATTCAAACTGATCCATGATCCCTGGTATGCGATAAATAGGCCCAACACCATAGTATGAGAAACATCCCCATATCATGATGCTTGCGCAACCATGCTTCACTGTCTTCACAGGGTACTGTGGCTTGAATTCAGTGTTTGCGGGTTGTCTGACAAACTGTCTCCGGCCATTAGACCCAAAAAGAACAATCTTACTTTCATCAGTCCACAAAATGTTGTGCCATTTCTCTTTAGGCCAGTCAATGTGCTCTTTGGCAAATTGCAACCTCTTCAGCACGTCTTTTTTTCAACAGTGGGACTTTGCGGGGGCTTCTTGCAGATCGCTTGGCTTCACATAGGCGTCTTCTAATTGTAACAGTACTCACAGGTAACTTTAGACCTTCTTTGATCTTCCTGGAGCGGATTGTTGGCTGAGTCCTTGCCATTTTGACTATTCTTCTATCCATTCAAATTGTAGTTTTTCGCTTTCTTCCACATCTTTCAGGTTTTGGTTGCCATTTTAAAGCATTTGCGATCATTTTAGCTGAGCAGCCTATCATTTTCTTCTTTATATGTTTTCCCCTCTCCAATCAACGTTTTAATCAAGGTACGCTGTTCTTCTGAACAATGTTTGGAACGACCCATTTTCCTCAGAATTTCAGAGAGAAATGCACTGTAACCAGCATGTACAACACAATATTTGCTGCCTTCCTTCCTTAAATAAGGGCAATAATTGCCACCTGTTTTTCAAAGACTGAATGACCTCACTAATAGAACTCCACACTGCTATTATTTTGAACATGCCCCTTTCAATTAGTGA